GAAACTGCGAACCCTCCCTCCTTCTATTCTAACCTCCTTGGAACGGACGACTCGTTTTCGTTTTGCGTCATGCGAATTACGGGTCAAAAAGTTGCGTAATCGTCGGGAGCGTCCTCGTGTGGACGGGCCTTTAGGGAATCTGACTGGTATTGGCATAAAGTTCGAAGTTTCCAACTTTATACTTACTTGGTAAAAGAGTCGACCAATCAGAGCGAATGCACAAAACCTATGAGCGGGAAATCTGTAGACACATCTACGCATGCGCAAATTTAGCTTCCCTAATTGGCTACGGCTTTGACCCTGTCTTGCAGGTGTGAACGGAACTTATGACTAAAAGGCTGTATGAGATTTATACAATCGTCTGACTGAATGGGACTATTCGCCGTGGTCATTTCGACGTGATCGTTTCGCCGCCAAGACATATTTTTCTTTACACGACTGAGTTATATCTTGCTGTATTATATTAAGTTGATTTAAATTAATAACTCTGTTTAGTTTAATTTAATTTGATAAACACTTTATATAAGATAATATATAAAATGTTTTTATATACAGTTTTATACAAATTCACCGTTACACATGACATATTAATTTTAAGAGAGTAAGGTGCTGAGGTGAGAGAGTAAGGTGTAACAAATCTTTTTATTTAAACACAAAGCGTTGACAATAAACGCACTTATACTAACAAGATGCATACACACTTATACTATACACTTATAGTTGTACTAACAAGATAGACCACCACTTGTGGCAAGGTAACTAAACAGTGAAATTTAAATTAAAGCGTAGGCTAGTAGTCAAAGGTTACTTAATTAATTCAAATGTAAGCTGGTTCAGCAAACGCTAACCGGCATAACAATTTAAATGTTGGCAGCAAAGCCGAATAACTGCAAACATAACAGAGATGGCAGAACTAAAGAAATGTCTCCTCGAGAGTCAAAACACTCTGTCTTACAATCCACAAACCTCAGCTTAAATACTCTCTACTTATTTCCATTTTTCATGAAGAAATGGAACGAAGAAAATATAGTAACTACTGAAATTATAAATAAGCGGTTAATTAAAATAATAGCCCTAAAATTTAAAATTTATACATCGGTGGGATATATTTTCCTGATTATAGAGCATCAATAGTTATTCATTAACGTTTCTAAGTAGTCATAATTATTTTTAAAAAGTGAAATTCTTGTTAATTTAATTTAAACCTTTTGAGTTTTCCATTTGGAAAGAATTTTACTATTTTTAAAGCAATTTAAGTGTTCAAAACACTACTTTTGAATATTTCTAAATTATATCCGGTTGTTTGAAAAGTCAGGATGAATTTTTTCTATGTTTCTCAAGGCTTTTTTATTTATAGAAACAACAATAATCAGTCACATGTATACTGCCCGTTTTGTTCGATAAAGTTTTACTTTCTTTTAATGAGCTTCGTAATCCCTCATTCACAAAGGAACCTGAATTTATTAGAAAAAAAGCTGATACAGCCTCGTATCACTGAATCGTCTGAACTGAATTTTATACCAAGAAAGAAATTTTGAAGAGAGCGAAACAAATGAAAGTCTAAAGTATGATGTACTTTCTTTCATGATTTTTTAAAACAGTTAAAACCACTAAGTGTTCTAAATTCACAAATACCTGAAACTTTCATACTGCCAGGTAATCCAGAAGGTAACAATGTGCAAAGTATATTGATATACTGATTAATAACATTGATGCTTTTTTCATGTCTTGAAACTCTTTCAAAAATAGCAGACCACTGCTCAAGTATATGCATCGAATAATAAAGATTTTTCATTCATAATTTTGTATCACATTTAATTGTTAATTAAGCATGTTGCTAAATAAAATTTTAAAAAAGAGAGACAGAAATTTATATTTTTCATTTTTAGTTAACCCAAAGTGATTATTTTTCAGTTATACAAAAATAAAATTATATTATGTGGAGGACAAAACATGTATTTTATTTAACACATTTTGATGTTTGAAACATAAAATAAAAGTAGCGAATACTCTGTCAAGGTTATAGAAAGACGTATATAATTTTTAAACTACCGCAAAATCGCTGTTGCAAGTTATCGAAAAATAAACAAGATGTGATTTTTGCGTAAATGTCACTAAACTATACAGACTTCTATTATCCATCCAACAATGAATGTTTCTTTTATGCGCAAGGGTCCCACTTTACATTTTGGATTAAAAATGCTTTAAACTTTAAGGATTACTAAGTATGTTCCGCCCAAAAAGTATTTATCAATGTTTTACTTCTTCACTAGTCACTTATATTAATTAAGGAATTAAACAGACTAAGGTCAAAGGGAAAAAGTAAATATACCTGTGTGAGTACATGCACTAGTTATTTTTGAGAAAGTTTCTCTCTTCATTTACAAAATTGTTTGAAAAAATTTAGGTATGTACATAAACAATAACCTTTTAGTCCATTTAATTCAGAATATTTCATAAAGTATTTGTGGAAAGTTTATCTTAAGTAAAGTTCTTTTCGTAAAAGAAAAGTTGAAAAATTCAAGTTTCTCAAAAAATACGTTTCATGTAATGCAAACGCAAACAAAAGGAAAAGAAAGTGTTGCCAAATATGGAAATAAAATTGCAAAACTAATCTTGTTCCCGAGCACTTAATAACAAAAAATAAAGGTTCAAAGTCATCATATGAACATCACTAAAGTATGCAAATTAAAAATTTTTCATTTTAAACCAATTCTAGAGAACTCTGTGTACCTTTAGACATAGGCTTCCTGGTTGTTAAACAGAAACATCCAGTTTACGATGTAGAAGAATAACAGCCATAATTCTGCTTTTAACACCGGAGAAACAAAATAAAAGTAGTTTGGGGAAATTTGATTTATATGCTTTAATATAAATAAAATATTTTTGAAAAATTTCATCAAAATTCACAATTAGAACGTAGTACGATACCTAATAACAATAAACAGTATTTTATACAGTAGTAAAACAGTACGAATTTTCATCTGTTTATTGTTATATTGTTAGTATAATAACAATAAACAGATGAAAATTCGTTATGAAGAAATTATCAGGCTGTTTTAATAAAACAATATCTTTCCAATATTTCTATAATTGTAAAAAATTACATACATCTTGAAATAATTATTAAAATATCTGGTGTGGATATCATATATGACTTCACTGTATGGCTTATTAAATTATACACATTTTTGCTGCATTTCATTTAAACTTACTTCCTCGAATTTCATTAGAGATACATTTCTCATTCAATTAATTCTGTTCTCACTACGTGGAAAAACAAAAATACATAAAAACTCAAAACATTCCCATTAAAAACTGTAAAATAGAAAAAATTGAAAGACACGAAATACAGTTAAAACAGTTAAAAAAAATTTGCAATTAAAATTAGAGTTTCTACACAAAAAGAGGCAATTCTGCAAGAGGGCAAGAAAGCATATTTTTCAATGCACAAAACTGAAAATTTGCTTTTGGCCCCACTTGGCAAAAAGACATTGAAGGTGCAGAAATTGGATCAAATCACTATTCTACTGAGTTTCAAATGTAAACAAATGGCCGTTCGTTTGGCTTAAGTCGGCACATCCAAGTTTTAAATTGTTGATAATTCTATAGCTATTGCATGTAGACTAACGATTCTGGCATAAAATATATTGATACTGAATTAGATTAAATTATTTTCTCCCTCTTTTCTTCATGCTTTCGTGGTGTAATCGGAAGCTACTCGAAGCGTATTCGAGATGTACAGGGCTCGAGTCTCGGCGAGGGCACTGCACGTTTTTCACATTTCCTGCTTAAAAAAAATGACTACTTTTTTATGCTAAAGAGCATCAAAATTTTATGCGCTTTAGCTGGTTTCATTTTGCAGTTTTCCCACACTTTTATACTCAGAAGACCCTGAGTAAGAAAGGCTCTCAAAATGCTTTTAAATACGATGAAAATAAAATTGATAATTAATGTATATACGATTGCAAAGATAAACTTACTAAGACACCCTCCACTAACCTAAAATAAAATTAGATACAAAGTTAGATACTGGTAAAACATTGGCTAAATTTTCATAAAAATGTTTTAGATATGTCTACAATAGATAAAGATATTTCAGATCCAGGAGAGGGCGGGGTTGTTCTCACCAGCGCAGCCAGTTTGAATAAAGATGCTTGGGTTTAAAATCGGGCCTTGTTCACCAGGACCCAAGAGATACTCGGCATTTTAATGAAGTTCAGTTTATACCAAGAAGAATGTACTTTAATTAAAGCAGCCAGGACACTTATTTGAATATCTAAGTGAATAGTCAACAACTTGCATAAAGTGCTGGTATCGATATGGAATCGTCGGAGTGGTGGGACATGAAACTACCCACTTCTACGAAAGAAAGAATTAGATCCATCTATTCACCTGGATTTAATATGTTTACATGAAACTATCCACTTCTATGATGTAAAGAATTAGATCCATCTACTACCTTGAATTTAATATGTTTACATGAAACTACCCACTTCTTTGAAGTAAAGAATTAGGTCCATCTTTACTCCCCTGAATTTAATATGTTTACTATTAATTTATCTTTCGAATTTATCCACTTTCAAACAATCGATATCAGGTGACATAGCGGATGTACGGCTACCAACACCCTGGGAAGTTTCCCGAATTCTGGATAGCCCCATCTGCCCTGTGCAGGTCAAGTAAAATTTAATAAAAATGAAATTATAATGAAGAAAAGGGAGGAGGGAATATAATCTGCAAATTACAAGTTTCCTTAATGCAATAAATATCATTAGTTCCGTAGAAATATTTTCTATGTAAAAATTAAAAACCGGAGATTCAGTTTCTGCCGCGAGATGTAATAAGAAACAAGAAGTCGCCTTGTTTTACCGGGAAAGTTGGCAGCTATGTCATTGTCATTCACTAAAAAATATCTTTTTATATAAAACACTATTTATGATAACTTTTCATTTATTTAAATTTTATTAATGTCAAACAAATTTGAAATTACGTTTTAGGATAATAATGAAAGTGTTGCTTCGAAACTTCGATTAGCAGGCCATACTGTCTTTTCATACAAAGTGGACGTCACCAATGAACAAGAAGTGGTTCATGCAGCCAATCGCGTTAAACAAGAAGTAGGTGACGTGTCTATCCTCATCAACAACGCTGGTGTCTTTTCCGGTCAACCACTGGTCAATCTTTCAAGTCAAGTAATCAGGAGATGTTTCGAAGTCAATTCTTTGGCACACTTCTGGGTAAGTGATTTTTTAATAATCACAGAAGAAAATAATAAAATCATTAATTTCTTCCGATAGTATTGTAACACCAGGTTTTAAAAGATTACTAGCTGGCAAGCCCGTGAGATGAACGGGCTACAGCCAAAACAATGTTTATAAGTTCTACGTCCTGAAAACTGAATATAAAATGAACTATTAATTTAATTTAATGTACTGTATACAAACTTGTTAGCTACGACGAAAGCAAATTTTATCCGTTCTGTGTACAGCGGAAAAGAAAGTGCATAAAAAAATTTCAGTGTGAATGAAATCAGCTCCTTCTTTCCAAGAAACAACCAATTCGTAAATAATCTTTTTGTTGCCAAACCAGAAAACAAAAACTTTTGACACATCAGGTTACTATTGTTACTTTTCTTTTTTCTGACACCAGTTGTTACGTTATTTTCTTCCTTCACGTTCGTACGGGGTTCGTGTGGATTTGGAGTGAATAACGACGACAGCACTTCATGGAATACCTAAACACACTTTATTTACTAATATTAATCAGGACAGTTCAAAAATTACGTGTACAGTCGTCGAACTGTTATAAACACGCTGACACATTCAGCGACACAGCCTTCACACTGTTAGGCAATAACGGTGGAGACAGCTTCACTGCAAAGCACCAAAGTACTGCTCCCGAGTCTGCTCTGTCGTTCTCGGAACTCCACGTACTCTCGAGACTCTCCACGCTACAACTCGCGATGCACTCGACGACACACAGAGCACAGCTCCCGACTCTTCGGTTCAGTCGTTCCCGGAGTTTAACACACTCTCTCGACGATGCACTAACCGTGATACACTAAAAGACTCTTCGATGCACTCGACGACTCACTCGGCACTCGCTGCCCGGCTGTCAACTCGATCGTCTCCGCACGAACTAACTAGATGAGACACACTATCTCGCACTCCAAACGAGGCACTCTGACTCGCCCTTTCGACGAGGCACACTCACTGACTGCGGACCAGCAGGGTTTATATATTATTCGGCTTGTGTTCGAGAACATTCTGGGCTAAACCGGTAAGAATTCGTTCCAGAAGTTTCTCCATCCGTCCATGGCATATTGCCAACTTTGTCGCCAAATGTGGCAGCCCTGCCTTCCCTTGCCATTTTATGGTAACCCTAAAACTGCTTTGCGGGGAAACTATATTTTACCGCGTTTCTACATTTCGTAACAATATGTATGCATATGACATCATGATTTAAATTTAATATATTATAACAACTTTTTCTCAATATCAATAAAAGAATTAACATGGCAGTAACATACCGTGTCAGTTATCTTAATCTGATACAAAATAAGTTGACAACAGCAGCTATTTATTTAAAATGCTGACATTAATGAAACATTTCGTCATTAATGAAACATTGTCAGAACATAACCTTATAATAATAATTTAAACAAATTTAAATTCTAAACAAAGACGTATAAAAGTAAAAAAGTAGAAAAGCAAATTTAAATTCTAAAAAAAAAATTTAAAAATATGCAAACATGTAAAAGATTTAATTCTCGAACTAATCTACAATATCATTTAAATTCAGAAGCATAAGCAAATCAAGTGTAAAATCTATCTATGAAAATAAATCTACTAATTTAATAAATTAAAATTAAATTAAACAATTTTTAAAAATGCATATGTGAATGATCGTAGAGTAGGCAGGAGACAGACTTATCAAGGGGAAGTTGCCTCCAAACCTAACTCTCCAATCATTCAATTCGTGTTCGTCATTCATGCAGGCAAGGGTAAAAAGTCCAAACCAAAAGTAATTCCAATAAAGTGGTATCCTTAGAAATTAAAATTTAAAGTATTAACATTAAGAATTAAAGTTCAAAAAGGAAAAATACTAATTAAGTCTTTGAGAGACAAGTAAAGTCAAGAATTAAAATTTTTTTAAAAAAATTAATTTTTTTAATTAAAAATAATTTTTATAAAATAATAAAAAAATCTAGAAACCAATGTATTTTAGAAATCCTTGTCTACAGAAACTTTCCCCCTGCACGAATATGCATATCATAAAAAGAAACTATAAAAGAACTAACTATACATAATCCACATAAACCAATAAGAAATAAAAAACAAAAAGAAACAAAAAGAACTAATTCACAATTTTTAAAAATAAAATAATATTTAAAAATATATATTAAAAAGGCAGGCCTTGACTTTACTTTATAATTTTTTGGCTCTTTTGGATATGATAACATTACGTTAAACCTAACTGGCGGGTAATGAAGGATATAAAAGAGTAGAGAAATTATTGTAAATTTTTATTGTAAATATTTTGTAAATATGTATATTTAATCAATACTGGATTCTTTCCTTTTATTAATAAAGGGCCAACTCTTTTCAAAAGTCTCAATTATAGCCCGAATTGAGTGAAGATTTTAATCTTCTTCTTCTAATTTTCCATACTTTAGCCAGTATTTAGTTAAGTTTTGATATACCAATTAAATCAAGTTCATTAAACTTTTAATATTTTCTTTCATCAAATTTAAGTTTTATTTAACTTCCTAAAGGAATTTTTGAGAAATTTCTGGGAAATTCTAGAGGTTTTTCAAGGACTTCATTTCAAAAAAAATTTGGGAAATTTTACTTTAAAACTTTAATATTAAAACATTTCAGTTTTTCTTAATTACTTTTCTTAATTATTTTTAATTACTAATTCTTAATTACTTTTTAATTACTAATTTTTTGCAATTTTCACACAAAATATCTTTCACTTAATTTTTTACAATTTTCACAATTTTTCAACAGAACACACATTTCAAATTACAAACAGTTTACTTTTTTTCACATACCACTTCACTTTAATTTCCTTCAAGCAAACATACATCTCTTGATTGGCTCAGTTACTTAACTCACTAAATAATTAATATTACTACCTTTAGGATTTTTAATTTAATTAATTTAATTAATATTAATATTTACAAAAAATTTTGTACTATAACAAAGATAGCAGCTTGACACTCAACTTTACCTACATAGCGCCATCTTTATAATTTGAAGAACACACATACTTCTCTTTCACAACACTTTTGCAGACCCCAACACTCATATAGTAAGTAAGTTTAGATTAAAAATTACTATTTACTTGCTTTAAGTATTTTTTTAAAAAAATTTTAATGTAGTATCTAAGTTATTTTTCTAAATATGAAATTATATTTTTAAATATTAAATTTATTTTTAAAAATTGTGAATTAGTTCTTTTGTTCCTTTTTGTTTTTTATTTCTTATTGGTTTATATGGATTATGTATAGTTCTTTTATAGTTCTTTTTATTTATATGCATATTCGTGTAGGGGAAGTTTTCTGTAGACAAGGATTTCTAAAATACATTGGTTTCTAGATTTTTTATTATTTTATAAAAATTAATTTTAAAAAAATTTAATTTTTTAAAAAAGTTTAATTCTTGACTTTACTTGTTTCTCAAAAGACTTAATTAGTATTTTCCTTTTTGAACTTTAATTCTTAAATGTTAATTTCTAAGGGTACCACTTTATTGGAATTACTTTTGGTTTTGACTTTTACCCTTGCCTGCATGAATGACGAAACACGAATTGAATGATTGGAGAGTTAGGTTTGGAGGCAACTTCCCCTTGATAAGTCTGTCTCCTGCCTACTCTACGATCATTCACATATGCATTTTTTAAAAAATTGTTTAATTTAATTTTAATTTATTGAATTAGTAGATTTATTTTCATGGATAGATTTTACACTTGATTTGCTTATGCTTCTGAATTTAAATGATATTGTAGATTAGTTCGAGAATTAAATCTTTTTCATGTTTGCATATTTTTAAATTATTTTGGCTTTTTTTTTTTTTTTTTTTTTTTAGAATTTTAAATTTGCTTTTCTACTTTTTTACTTTTATACGTATTTGTTTAGAATTTAAATTTGTTTAAATTTAAATTTCATTCCTTGCAGCAATGGCGCAAAGAATCTTTAATTAAATATGTATTTAAATTTAATTTTTTTAATTAAACTCAATTTATTCTTATGAAACTTATAATAATAATGATATATTTAATGTTTGGAGATGCCAATATTTTTATTTCATGTTTTGCAAAACTTACACATTTTTATTAACAAACTCTACGATTTAAAAGCGAGTAGTGGCAACGCTTTTCGAAATAAAGCAGATTTTTATTCCAGCGTGCGAGACTGTTGCCACTCAGAAAAATGAGTGCGAAAATTAGCGTTTTCAGAGTTTTTCATTTATATGTCGGCTAATTAAAATTGTACGAAGATGAAAATGGTTGAAATGGCTTCCAAAAATCCGTAGGTACCTCTCTCGAAATTCAACTCGCTGCCGTTCCGGAAGAGATAATGCAACAAGCAAACCAACAGACAGAAGCGCATAGATTTTTAATAGTGTACATTCTAAGCTCGAGATTATTTTGAGATACATGCCTCTAAATGCCTGGGCAAAGCTTCTATGATACTCTTTGTTGTACCTCTCACATACAGCGAGGATAAGTCTGGCAACAGCTGCAGGAAGAAAAACTTGGCTGTGCTGGAATGGCAACAGCGGATGAAATTCTATAGAGTTAATTTTGATTTTGAATCGATATTTTATGCGTCTTTTGCGATACCATTGCGTTACAAAATTTGAGTTTTGGGTGAATGAAATGGAATCCGCTGCCCCGCTGCGGTTATTAGCAAAATATATTTAGAAAATTAGCTGCGTTGAAAAGGATGAAACCCTTGTGTTTGAATTTGCGGTATTTTACCTCCTATAGTTGCGTCGAGTTCAGAAATTATGCCAGGCTTATTCACGCTGGTGCAGATAAGTTCAAATTTTTGTTATTGTGTTTATAGTGTATAACTTGCAAATATATGAATAAAATTCTATTAAATAAACATTTAAAATTCTGGAATAGTGTTTAAAATTTTAGATGTAGAGTATTCACATTGCTATGTCGGAGCCAGTGGCAGTCAGGTGTAAAGTAAAATTGTTTTCGCTCCACGACATAACACTCTTAATTCATATTCAATTTTCTAAATTTTCAACTGTGACAGACTGCTCTGTGACAGTAAAATTTCAGCTAAGTCTATTGTCAACACTATCCAGAAATACGTTGAGACTTCATCGTTATTTAGTTTATTTAAATTATGAACATAAACGGCTTTTAATTCTGAACTTATTAGATTTTATACATGTAGAAAATATATTTTGTACAATATTTAACTACTTTTAAAAAGTATAGTAAACTTCTAATAAATAATTTTGGTTAAGATGCAATTAAAATTTACATTGTATTTTAAATGTAGTTCAAATGAAATTCTCCTGCTTATATTAAAAGAAATAAGTCAATCATTTGTCCATAACTAAATATCTATTACCACACTGCAAATACTTAATATTTCTTTATAAATTTGAAATTATTTTGAGTGATATTGAATTTCGTTAGTTTAATCATTTTACTAGAGTGGGATATTCGAAACCTCGAATTCCTAAGATTCGAGATTGGAAAATGTTTTTTGTCATTCGCTTTCCTTCCCCTCCCAACGTCACTTGAGTCTTCGAAATCTAACCTAAAAATCTATTTAAGAATTTTAATTAAAAATTTTTGAATGATTACTTTTATTGACGTACAATACAGAATTCTTTAAAAAATGAAAGCAGTTTTTGCATTATCAGTGAATCTGGATCGCAAATATTTTAAAGTAGTCCTGAATATCAAGTATTTAATTTTTTGGAGAGAATTCAGGAATTCATGTTTAGTGTTCCCTTGAAATAATAATCCATTTCCGTTTCTCCATTTACTTTGACTTCAGAAGGATTAAAAAAAAGATATCTGAAACGTTTCAGATTTTAAATTACGTCCAAAGCTACGTTTTTTTAACGTCTTGTGCGTTACCTTTATTTATTAAATATCATGTTCTTTGCAATTAAACCATTAAATTCAGTTCAACAGCAATGTCGCAAAATAATTCTAAAATGAGCATATCTTTAGAATTTCCGATGCACAGTTCCGCGCCGCTAAAGATGAAAAGTTTTTTTTTTCTCCGTAGAGTGTTATTATTGCTCGCTTTTAAATCCTTGAGTTTCTTAATCAAAAATTGGTTAAAGCTTTACAAAATATGAAATCGATAATAAAACAAATTCTAAATTTCAAATTTCGGCTTTCAAATGCCCATATTCGCAGTAGGATGACGTCATTCAAAATTGGATGCTTCTGGGTAACGTTGTTTTATCACAATGCGAGAAACAGATATACGTTTATGCAAATTCTTCGTTATTTAATTTCTTCAAATATAATACAGGGCGATAGTATTTGGTGGCAATGATTTGAAAAGTGATACGCCGTTTATAGGGTTGCTACGCAAAATCGCAAAATGAAAGCAATAGTCCTTCCGGGGCAAAACCTTTGGGTTAATAATCTGAAAGTTTTCAGATTTTATATTACACTCACAGGGGCTTTGTTTAAAGTTTCGTGTGTTACCTTTATTTATTAAACGTCATGTTCTTCGCACTTAAACCGTAAAATTCAAGTCAATAGCAATATCGCAAAATAATTTAAAAAGAGAATTTCCGATACACAGTCTCGCAAGTTGGAGATAATTTTTTTTCTGTAGATTGTTGCCGCTGCTACCTTTGAAATCGTTGAGTTTCTTAAACAAATTCCAAATTTGGGCTTCCAGATGCCCATATTTGGGTGAAAACGTACGTTTTTCAGAATCTGATGTTTCTAGGTACCGTCGTTTTATCAGAATGCGAGAAGCATGCATACATTTAGGCAGACTCTTCATTATTTAATTTCTTTAAATTCAATTAAATTTAAATTCTTTAAATACAGGGCGATAATATTTGGTGACAACAATTTGAAAAGTGATTCAGGCTTTTAAAGTTTTCGACGCAAAATGCCAAAACGAAATTAGTAGCCCTTCTCTAATCACTATTTTCTCTTTAATGCTTCAGAAAATATTATTTATCATGTGTAAAAACCTGTTTTGTAACACAGATCAATAATAACTCTTTATCACTGTAATGAGGATTTAATTTGATGAGATTAAACTCATTTGAAGTATTGAATTCATGAAATGATTTTGACTCGGCCTTTGAAATTCATCATTACAGGCAGTTATTTATTGTTATGCATTATTAATTTATTTTATTTTTATGCATACATTAAAAACACCACAATTATTTCAGGAAAAATACATATGCCGACTTTTCACAAATTTAATGTGCTTATCTGAATATTTTGCATTCATTTGTAAATTTTTACTCTATTGCCACATTGAATAATGCTGTGATTAGGAATATGTAGCACTTATACAATCCTTGCAATTATTGAAAGAAAATTTATTTTGTCCCACAGTATTCAGTTTATTCTATTGACTTCACACCTCAATGTCAAAATTCTGAAAATTATTTTAAATAAGAAACGGTAGTGGGAACCATGCATAAACAATCATCTAACTTTTCAACAATAGTGATTATAAAATAAACAAAAAAAAAAAAAAAAAAATAGATGTCAACGACATTCAGACTCATTATATATCGTTGCAAACATTCAGATTTTAACCTGCGTTTCTAAATTATTATTCTACAATTATTATTTATTTTTTAATAAATTTCAATATGCTAATGATTTTCATATTAGATTACTATAATTTCCCAATTCGCACAGGGAAACAAAATCTGCCTATTAAATTAGAAATGAAATTTCTTTTCCACATTCGAAACATCCGCATTGGCGATGTTTGGCGACGGGTGCATTAACCCTTGACCAATTTAATTATAGCTAATATAATAGAAATTAGCAGATACTTAGGTTATTGTACACAAGAATTTCACTATACTTGCACATTGTAAATATTTGAGAAGATACAATGATACAATGATACTAAATGAAGGAGTAAATAATATTATACTTACTAGGCAAAGTTGAGCACCTGAACCAGGTTCCCAATTATCTCTTCGGCAATTATTTAATCAAATTTTTCTTTTTTCTTCTTTTTTAGGAAATGTTACGAATATATGATCTTTCCATGAATGATTTGAGGAATTAATAGCTGCACATCCGCCCATTTTACACAAAAAAGCACAAGAAATTATAGCACCGCTAACTATGCAGCCGCCATTAACATTCCCACTTGAGCTGCCGAATGGCGGATGATTCGGCCTTTTATATAGAAGCCTTAACCTATCCTAAAAAAAAAATTGTCAACAGCAGCTATTTATTTAAAATCTGACGTCAACGAAAAATTTTCGACATCAATGACGTCATATGCAATCGCGTGCTTTCATCAATGTCAAAATACAACTTAACATAATAAAAAAATTCTGAATGCTTTCAGATTTTATATTATGTCCAAAGTGGCGTTTTTTAACGGGGGATTGAAAACGGGATTTTGAAAAGTGATATAGACATTCAAAGTCATTCGACGCAAAATACAGTTAGACAATGTAACGTCTTTGCTTTACTACGCTACCAAAGTAATACCAGTAAGAAATATAAAGAAACCTCGCGCATAAAATATCCTTGTTTGGGGATGCACACGATGTTAATGTTAATGGAACGCTTTGAAATATTTGAGTTTGTTAATGAAAAAACTCGTTAAAATTTTACAAAATATGAAATAGATTATGAAACCAATTCCAAATTCCAAATTTGGACTTCCAGATGCCAATATTCGAGTGCAAGACTACGTGATTCAAAATTTGATGGCTCTACGTACCCTTGTTTTTTCACAATGCGAGAAACATACATTCATGCAGATTCTTCATTATTTAATTTCTTTAAATATAATGCAGGGCTCTAATATTTGGTAGCAACAATCTGAAAAAGTGATTCAGACTTTTATAGTGAACCAGTGGAAAATGCCAAAACGAAATTAATAGCCTTTTCTGGGCTAACGCCCATTTGGGCTAATAATATGTTTGACGTTTAGCAGTGCTATTTCTGTTTCATATATTTTCTGGAACTTATAAGTTTTTGATGAGCAAACTCTACGATTTGAAAGCGAGCAGTGGCAACACCTTTCGAAATAAAGCATTTTTATCTCCAGCGCGCGAGAGTGGTGCCACTCGGAAAGAAAATGAGTGCAAAAATTAGCATTTTCAGAGTTATTTTATTAATATCTCGGCTGAAATTCTTACGAAGATGTTAACGGTCAAAATGGCTTTCCGAGAATCGGGGGTACCTCTGTTGCAACTCAACTCCCCGCCGTTCCGAAGGAGACTATGTTACAAACAAACAAAGAGACAGACGTGCAGAGGTTTCAATAGTGTACATTGAAAGATTGTCATGGATGAGATTGTCATGGATGCGATAGTCATAAACACAAGAGTGGTCAAAAACAGGGTCGTTAATGTTGATCGAGTATAATCTCTCTATTCTTTGTTCAAATCATGTAACTCAATTTTTTACTGATTATATTTCAGATGCTGCAGCAGTTCTTGCCCCGTATGATTGAATTGGATAGAGGTCACGTAGTCGCCGTAGTATCTATAGCTGGTCATCAAGGTGTTCCTTATATGACTGATTACTGGTAAGTGAAATTATCTATACAGTACAATCCTTGTATTTATTTGGTTTGGTTTGTTTAATTATGGCAATGCAGGCGAGAGTTATCTGCCTAAGGAGAGGGATATCCTTCGTGGAGGACTTTATAAGGTAAACAGACTCGTATAGACAGTATACATTATCTTTATACTCTTCTTAAGGAAAGCAATATAGTCATTAAGACTAATGGCATTTTTTTTTTTTTTTTTTTTTTTTTTTTTTTTTTAAATTCAGTGCGTGTAATACGAGCAAGTTATAAAAGTAAAAAGGAAGCTAGCCTTCATTACAGTTAAGGTTTTATAGAAAAACTCGAAAACATTATTTCATTGGACATAATAGAAATGTTTAAGTCCCATTATAAGAAAGGATACAGCGCTTAAAGCCGCTAATATTTAGTTATAAAGTAAATCTGGGGGGAGGGGAGGGTAAAGAACCCTAAATGGACTTTAAAAGAAAAATCTAGCGCTATCACTGCTAAGACTATAAATTTAAATTGAATTATTAATTTTTATTTTCGGTTATCCCAATGGAAGTGAAGAATACAAGGTATTGTAGAATTAATATTATTTTAATTTAATTCTAGGAAGTCTGAAATAAAAATATGGAAAATATATTTAGCAGAAGTTTTGAATTACAATGGAATTCACATTAAAAAATTCAAACTACTGACTAATTAAAATTAAATTAATTATTATTGATCCCATAGAAGAAGGCAAACTTTTCAAGCCGAATTAGTTTTTTTCCATAAAATCCACAACAATTAAGTAATAATCACATGTTTTGTCTCCATCGTATATTTGAATGAAATTCTTCTCGAAATGCAAATCAAACAAACAAATGTAATATTTTTGGATTTAAATTAGAAATTTTCAAACAAAACTTAAAAAATTCTCCGACCCTATCTAAATCGACATATTTACACAACCTAATGATTGGTGAAGCGAAAAACAGTTTAAAAACAATGTCGGTATTTCCAATAAATAAAAGTTATTAAATTAATATAATTTTAAAAGTCGTTTATCAAACTGAATGTATATATATAAATTGATCAAAAAATATAATTTAATTTTAACTTACAATTAAAACTCTTTCTTGGTTTGTGAGTATTCGAAAAGAAAGTTCGCTCGAAGGAATACGCAACGGACGTTTTAAATTTGCAGTAAAAGATGTGGTAGAATGTTTTTTTTAACTGTTATGCTATAAGAAATTTGGGAATGGGAAGAAACTAATACGTTAGAAGCTTTCGAATTGATTGTACACCAAAAAAAGCCAAAATGGTGCGAGCGAGGGTGGAAAGCTTTTATCTCCTTTTTTCGGCAAGATTAGGAAAATTAAATTGGCAAAAAGCAAATAATAATAATTATTATTATTATAATAATATTATATACAATTATATTATTACAATTATTATTATTATTATTATTATTATTATTATTATTTTTGGCTGAGAGTCAAAGATTATGAAGTCTTAGAATGAGTTATGAGTCTTAGAATGAGTTATGAGTCTTAGAAATGAAATGTTACGAAATATTGGGTAATATAAATAACCTCCGCGCGTTTTTGCCACTAGATGGTATTGATGCTTATATATCCGCCAGCACTCACCCGATTGTCTCAAACGAACATGTGCTTAAAAGGTGACATTCAACTTCCATTGTTTGCGAAGATAGTTTTCTGATATATTGCTCGTATCAAAACTTATATTGGTTTGAAAATAAGTGAAATATCTGAAGAAATACGGTATGTAATGCTTTCTTACTATAAAAAAAGGCAAAAACGTTTCAAAAACATGCCGAAAAATTCGTGAACTAAACGATGAGAATGCTCTGAGTGAACGAAGGACCCAGCAGTGGTTTGCTTGATTCCATTCCTGAAGTTTCGATGTCGAGATTGGAAGGCAGTTGTCCATTATGAGCTGCTGCAACCTGGCAAAACTATCAATTGGACCTGTACTGTACAGAAGTAGTCCTTTCTGGACGAAGCAGTCCAGAAAGGGCGACCAGACTTCGTCAACAGAAAGGGAGTTGTGTTCCATCATGACAATACGCGGCTACACACATTTTTGATGATTTGGAACAAATTGACAAAACTTGATTGGGAAGTTTTGATGCACCCACCCTATAGCCAGAACTTTGTACCATCTGACTTCCCTTTGTTTCGGTCTCTGCAAAACTCTCTTGATAGTAAAAAATTGGCCCACCGAAACACCGCTGAAAATCATTTGACCAAGTTTTTCAACGAAAAAAAACCACAGAAGTTATAAACCGATGGAATTATGAAGCTACCAGAAAAATAGCCAGAGGTCATAGATAATAATAGTCAATATGCAGTTGATTGAAATTGATTTTCAATAAAGAAAATGTTTGTTCAAAAGTGTACGAAAAAACGCGGAGACTTTTTATGTGACCGTATATGTTTTGAGGTTTGCACTGGTCGTCAGTGAGTGACTATAATATGTGGATAACTCTATGTTTCCGAAAACAGATTTGGACATAACAGTTTAAGTAAGAATGTGATATAAAATAAGACCTATATAACCTACATAGGTTTTGAAAGCACAGTTAATTTTCTTAATAAATAATTAGATGTCATTCTTGATACGGATTTCTGTATTGTATCGCTTCACCAAAAAGAAGATAAAAAGGCAAATAAAGATTTATTAAAATTTTCCTTTTTCTTTACGAGCTCTCAATATCGAAAATCACATTTTTAATAAATATTGTGTTTTTTAGATTCATAAATATTGAAATCAAGGTTGTATCATACACGTATGAAGATAAAAGGCTGTGAATAATATTAGTAATAGTTTTGCAAAATCATGTACGTATAACATAGGGCAAGGATGGCGAACCAACATGACTAGTGTGATTAAAAAAATTGCAAGATAAGAGTAATAAAGAATTTCAAACTTAGTTGACTGAGAAATATGGAATGATTAATAAAGTGGTGTGCGTTCTAAGTTCTGTAACAGTGATATGCAGAAAATCGCCTCTTAAACGTCATTATGAATCAAATCACAAATCTCTTTGCGAGAAAGGCGAACCAGAACAAAAGGAATTCATCGCATGTGCAATTAAAGAGAGAAATAAACAGTCGACATTTATGATTAAATATATCAGCAAGGATTGTCACGCCAGTGCTGCAAGTTTTTCGGCTGCAAATGTCATTGCCCGGCATCGTAAATCTTTTGGAGATGGAGAATTTTTGAAAGAAGCCTGGTTATTAGCCCACATCAGTTTTTGAAGATTATGAAAATAAAGATAACATAATTCAGCGCGGTTAAGATACTCCTTTATTTAGAAATACAGTAAAAAACAGAATAAAAAAAAGCAAATAAGCAAACAGCAAATACATATATATATATATATGCAGGCTCGAGCACCTCGCAGGTGACAGTGCGACTTAGCTCAGTTCCGCCCTCAGTTTTGATGGGGAGCACCCCGGGGGGGACGAGTCCGAGGGTCTCACACCCCGTCTTCCCCTACCACCAACCTCTGGAGAGGACTTTCGGCTCGCAGCATATTTAAAGTGCCCCATACATCACGAACACTATGCATCCATGCCTTCTCCGGGATTTGAAGATGACTGCCGGGCCCTTCGGCACGGCAGTCAGCGATGCTAACCACTACGCCGATTGGGTGGCCCTTTATTTTGTAAGGTACTTCATGTTAAACAAGTTATTTTATGTTTTGAATCTTTACTGTCACTTCCTTCTTCCGTTTTCCTCCCAGAAAGCAAATTAGTCCACATGTGTTTAACGTTAGGGTTTTGGATTGTAAGACAGAGTGTGTTCTGCCTGTCGAAGCTACGTTAGTAGGTTGCTAGATGAGATAAGATTCGCAGTCTCTTGCCTTGCATTATAATTGCCAATATTGAATCCATGCAGGGTAGATAAATTCGCCAACTTCCCGTTAGATTGATCTGCGTAGTCTTTGGCTACTAGCTTATTTAAATTTAATTTTACATTTGAACTTAGTGCTATTTTAAGTTATCTCGCCACAAGTGGATGACTGATTTGTAAGCACCAGGTAGGCCTTCTGTTCTTCTTAGTTCTAAATAAAATTGATCTTTTAAGCTTTCTCAAGTTTCCGTTGTTAATTTAGATTTTGCAATAATTTGCTGAACGTTTACCAAGAGTTTGGACACTATTTGAATGTTTGCAAAACATACCAAATTTTATAACTTGATGAGAGAAAAACTTTATCTTGAGAAAAAATTCTCTGTTCATTTCTTATTTAACTGTAGGTGAGACGTCTAACAAGACATGGTCAAAAACATTTTAAGACTGGGACTGTAAGGTCTGGAAAATAGGTATTTATGCCAAGGAAAGAGGGAAGTCCCAAGACACTCTGCTATAGAACGCGCCGAAAAGACAACGAGTCTCCATTTGAAACGAGCAGGAAAAATCTACTTGAGAATGAAACTTGGAGGAGATGAAACAAAAAGAATAAAGAAGCACTAGACAAGCAAATAAAACCCACTCGGTTAAAAATCATTCAGTCGAAACAATGTGAACATTTTTGAAACCGACATAAAAAGACATGCTCCCTTGATATAAATCCGAAAAAAGGCATCAGAAAGTAAGCAATCCAAAAAAGAAGAATGTAAATATCTGGAAGATTAATGCTTACATTCAAATACTATATATTATGCTTTATTTCGGATATATCCGCAGAATCAAGGAGAAAGATTACGTAGTAGTCTTTGTTAGTGTTTAGTGTACTATTCCCCTTTAAAATAGACTGAATGTTGATTTAGAAATACCGCTGAACCACCCATGTAGAAATTCAGATGATGAATTTAGATTAATTGTAGAACTTTATGCGCTGGGCCATTATGGTCTATCGAACACAGTCTTTTGCCTTTTAGTGCTATTTATCATAACTTGAAAATTATAAAATCTTCTAAGCTGGCTAATTGCTATTGCCCAGGATTATATCATAAAAATACTAAGATGAAAAATGCCACCTTGTTTCTAACTCAAAGGATGTCAAAAACTTAATCAGTACTCAGCAAGCAGGGAATTAAAAATCAGCTTTCTTAGAAACGTGATTCTTCTACAGTGTCACATATATTTTAGAAAATAAAAACAAATACATTATCCAAATTCAGATGAGCATACTAAACATAGAGTCTTTTCCGGTTTTTAAATAGACACTTTTCTTTACCTCTAAATGGCAACACGAAGATCAGTAGAAGCTCATTGATTGAGAGAACGCTAAGTGGCAACAGTGTGAACTTCGGAACTCGTTTTCGATTTTTTTGATGCAGCTAAAATATCGCTGATGAGATGTTAAATAGATTCTAGATTAGATTAATTTGTATGATGTTCTAATATATTCCCCTTTAAAATAGACTGAATGCTGATTTAGAAATACCGCTGAACCACCCATGTAGAAATTCAGATGATGAATTTAGATTAATCGTAGAACTTTATGCGCTGGGCCATTATGGTCTATCGAACACAGTCTTTTGCCTTTTAGTGCTATTTATCATAACTTGAAAATTATAAAATGTTCTAAGATGGCTAATTGCTATTGCCCAGGGTTATATCATAAAAATTATATAACTACTAAACCGTATAGTGTTATTTGCAACAGATACATATTTCATTTGAACAAAACAGTTATTGTGTCGAAACAGATTGCACATCTGAACGATGCACTCGACGGCACACAGAGCACGGCTCCCGACTCTTCGGTTCAGTCGTTCCCGGAACTTAACACGGTCTCTCGACGATGCACTAACCGCAACACACTAAAGACTCTTCGAAGCACTCGACGACCCACTCGACCCTAGACTTCGAGACATTCGCTCAATGACTGACTATCACCTCGCTAGACGAGGTACACACGCTAACTGACTGTGGAACCAGCAGGGTTTATATAGCTTTCGGGTTGTGTTCGAGAACATTCTGGGCTAAACCGGTAAGAATTCGTTCCAGAAAGTACTCCATCCGACCATAGCATATCGCAAGTTTTGTCACCAAATGGGATATGTCTCGCCAAATGTGGCAACCCTGCCTTCTGTTGTCATTTTATGACAATCCTAAAACTGCTTTGCGGGGAAGCCATCTTACCGCGCCTGTACATTTCGTAACAATATTTTCCACAGTTGAATAAATGACTACAAATGTAAAGCACACTTGGTCGGTCACAGTAACAACAGATGAAGAAGTAAAAGCATCAGTTTTACCTTACTAACCAACAAAGCTTTTAAGCAAATTTGCAATAATTTTCCTTCTATTTCCTTATTTTTTCATTCTATTTTTATATGAAAGAGAAAATTTGACGCATTTATGAAGTGAGTGTTAATATAAGGAATAAAATATGCTACCAGCATTGCATTGGTGTTCTTCAAGAAAGTGAATAATTAGTGTATTCAATCCAAAGAAAAACAATCTTTTTAGAGCAAAAGGGAATTCTAGTCTTTTAAGTTTCTCAACATAAAACAAAAAATTAAAAGTTACACACGTTGCCACCAACAAACTATAAAAACCCGCGGGGAAAAGAAAATTGTTAAAACATGGAGTTAGTTAAAACTTCAGATGTAACGGAGGCAATGCGTCCTCGCCGTTTAATACTTGTTATATACTTAAGTGATATTGTATCTGGGTCGGAGCGTAAGGCGCCAAAGAGAAGCCAAGCTTCAAGAAGTAGAAGAAGAAGAAGTTCAGATGTGACATCCTGCCACCTTAAGCTGTCGAGAGGCAACTGAACACAAATGGAACATGTTAAGTTTTTAAGTTTTATCATTCTCTGGCGGGCCTTAATTGTTCTAGCACTTTTGGTTGTAAGCTTCTCCATATTAGGTAGGTAAGTCTTTGGTCCACCAGGAGCTCCTTCATTCCCATCTTCGGTTCTTGCATTTTCACAGTGTTTTCAAAAGCTTCCGAAGTTTTGTCCTTTAATGTAACATAAAAGCAATAGAACACGACCCAGGAAACGAAATAGCTCCTCGTAGAATCCAGAGTATAGAATTTCAGGGACTAGAATATAGAACTTCGGTGAGTGGAGCATGGTTCTTCATAGAACATATAACTTCGTAACATATATTTATAGCTCTTTAGAGAATACAGAACTTCATTCAATACAGCATAGTTCTTTATAGAACGTTTAACTTCAAAATATAGAACATAGCTCTTCAGAGAATACAAAATATAAAACTTTATTTAAATCTTAAACTCTTTTCACGAAAATCTTCAACAATTTCATACAGTTTTCAAATTCATTTTCTGTTAACGCAGCTAAAATATCTAAGTGAGTTTGCTCCAAACATTTTTCTTTCGAAATAAATACATTTAATTCAGTTTCAAGGACACATATATCTCCATCTTGTTCAATACTCAGTTTTTCTAATTTATTGTAAGCTTTGTATTATAAGCTATTGTATTTACTAGAAAAGCAGAACACTGAGCCGTACAAGCCTTCAAAAAAGGCCTTCCATCTCTAAATACAAAAATGAATTAGGCTTACCTGGACTATACTTTAGATTTCAAATTATTTACACTGTCTCGCCAAGAGTACCATTACAAAATATGTAAGCACAAGGAATAAGATATGTTATCAGCATTCGCACGATTTGGGAACGTGAAAATTTAATTTTAGTATGCGGCACGCACGGGATTTGGCGACTTTTGGCTACATTATGATGGGCAATAAACGAGGTGTTTATGATGAGCAGCAAACGAATCATTTTAGTATTGACGACAATTTTTCAAAATCGCGCCAAAGCCGTACCATATGCTATGATTTTGCCAAATTAGTGTATTCTTTACAATCGTTTTACAGTAAAAGTAATCCACTCTTAATTTTCACAATATAAAACAAAAAAGTAAAAGTTAGGCAGGTACGTTGCCACTCAAAAATTAGTAAAAAGCTGATAGGGAAAAAAATCGTTAAAACATGGAGTTAATTAAAACTTTAGCTGTGACAGTTAGGGCCCATCTTTAAACACCGGATATATTTGCTATTTTTAAAAGCAGTCAATAATTTGTGGGATCTTCGTAACACGAAATTTCTCGCAATCGCGAGTTGTGCTTCCTCATTAAACCTCAAGAGTATTCTTATCAAAGCTTTTGTAAATGAACAGTACTGCTATAAATATCAGATATATTTTATTGTGCTATATGTGATTAACAATGAGACATACTTCCTTCCATTACAGTGCTTCGAAGCATGCTACAGCAGGCCTAATGGAATCATTGTATATGGAGTTACAAGCTATGGGTAAGAAAAACATACGCCTGACCACCATCAACCCCATTATCATCACAACTGGATTGATTTCCAACGTCAAAACTAGGTGAGACAAGAATTTACTTTGAATATCATTCTGAAGTTATTTTAGATAGCTATCGAAAAATTATCTTCAAAATCAAAGCACTGCTACTTTCCTTTTATTGCAAAGTACCCAAAGCAACAAGGCTTTATAAAGTTTTTCGAGGTTCGTGAACTAGCATTATGCTTAAATTAGAATTTAACATGCCTTACTTCAAAGCATGGCATTATGTGGAACTTTGGTGTAAGAGCAATCTTGCTAAAATTCTACCTACGATTACCTTATCTATGCTTCTAATAGTATCAAAATAACCCGAATATAAAATGATTAAAGTATCAAAATTAAAAGGTAATATAAATAAATGGTTGTCCGCGCGACAACAAATGAAACCAATTTTATTACGTTAGCTTTTAATAATTTAATAAATACATAAGCGATAAATTAATGCGCTTTTATTATTGGGTTTCATATATAGAATTGGAAGAATTGGAATTTGGAAGAATATAATTTTCAGAAGGGCATTTTAAAGTCATTATATTCGAGTTAGTATGGTATTTTAAATTTAAGAAAAAGTTGTATTTAAAACTACTTTCGTTATTTCCGTGTGGTAAAAGCAACAGAAGATTAATAAATATATCTTTTATACTTTCAACAAACAACTTTTTTTGCCACTAGTCAATATACTAGCCACTAGCCTGTGTTGGCATATCTGTGCAACAAATATTTAGGAAATTCAGATTTGTTCAAAACTTCAATTAGAAAACATTTTATATAATCTGTAAAAAATATTTTTACATCACATGAACAAAAAAGTAAATTTTATTTTATGCTGATTTTGTGATTGCTAAAGACTATCTGTTTACTATCTGATCTATCTGCACCATTTTTTACTTCCTTGTAGGAAGTAAAGGAAGAATTGTAATCGTGAAAAATTTCGGGTACAAAGCAAAAATTCGTTTTGACCGCTATCGAATCCAATTTAACGATGTTTTTGAGTGACATCTATACGTAAAGACAGAAGAAAGAACTTTTTTCCCTAAAACGCAATTATTTTAAAGGACTTTAAAAAGATTCAGAAGAGATTTCTTTCGTGACGTCTGTACGTACATATCTACGTACGTATGCATGTATCTCACATAACTCAAAAACGAGTAGTTTCAGAATGTTCCCATTTTGCATATAGGACTGCTATAATATGTAGCTGTGCGTCTCCCTTTTTGCTTTCAATCGGCTGCTCCAAACATATATATATATATATATATATATATATTGGTTCTGGGCGCTCAGTTTTCATTTTATTCTTATATGTTGGTAAATTATGCATTTTTTGCTCTAAAAAGGATTGAATTATGTTGTTATTATATTCCCATTAAGGTTTTTAGGCCTTTAGTTAATCTGTATGCAACAGATGCAGAATTATCAACAATTTAAAAGTTGTTCAAGTGAGGCTAAGTCTAATGGAGCAGCCATATTTGTTTTCATTTAAAACAGAATAGTGAATTAAGTCAGCATCTGCACTTTTAGTTCCCCCCCCCCCCCCCCCAGTGGGACGAAAACTAAACTTTAACAGTTTTGTGCACCGAAAAATCTGCCTTCTTGCCCGCTGGCCGAATGGCTTGTTTTTGCGTAGAAACTCTAATTTTAATTGTAAAAATTGTTTTTTTAATTGTTTTATCTGTATTTGGTGTTTTTCCATATTTTTCAATTTTTATTGGAGCTATTTTAAGTTTTTATGTGTTTCTGTCTTGCCGCGAAGTGAGAACTGAATTAATTGAATGTGAAATATATCTCCAATTAAATTCGAGGAAATAAGTTTAAATGAAATGCAGCAAAGATGTGTATAATTTAATAGACCATGCAAAGAAGTCATGTGGTGTCCGCATCAGATTTCTTCCTTCTGCATGTGTGCTTTATACCTTACCAGCACTGTATATTAATTTTTTCTTCTTTATTCTTTCATAATTCGACCGTCACTAAGCCAACATCTCGGAGTTTTGTTTTTTCTTGTATCCCTACATCCGATTTTTCAACTTTATTAATTCCCGTTCTCTGGATTAGTACTTTGTTCAATGACGAATTTACCCTTCTTTTCTATTTGGTTCTGTCTCATATTATATTTATCATATTTCTTTTCCCTGCTCACTGTTATGTTTAGTGTGCGTTAATTGTTCTAAAGCTGAGCTTTCTCTATATTACTTTCTCCCACAACAGTTAATTTTTTCGAGAGTTTTCCTTCCATTGAACTTTTTTTTTAATTCCTCTTATCTTTATTACTACATAGACCTACTTTTTCTATGCCCTTAACAGGCAAGTTCATATTGCACTTTTTGCGAACATTTTCTAACATTTGTTTTCGTAATTAATCTGTTTGTGCTTTCTTCTAATTATAAACAGCCATTATTAAATTAGCCGTCTTTGATTAACTGGAAAGTGTTAACATTATGTTATTTTAAGAACTTTTGGTTAATTTTGAAATTGCATTTAAAGCAAATTAATATTCTTTGAAATAATTGTCAATTTTATTGCAAATAATCCATTTACAAACTAAAAACTGTACGACTGAAGCAAACCAGCGGTTCCAGGATAGAAGTGGGCTTTAAAAAGGGTTTCACATATCAAAAAGCTTAAAAAATGCTGCTTTAGACAAATCAGAATAGGCATATTACAAGAATGCCAATCAGAAAAGTCTTTCGTAATATCAAAAACAATATTTTTTAACAAGTTAAGTGCGCTTTCATTTTTTTTTTTTTTTTTTTGTTATTCAGTGACAACAGTGAAACGATGTGTTCCTAAGATTTTAACTCAAGGAGCTGTTTTTGTTGTTTTTGGATATTAGACGTCAACAGTATGTCGTTACTTAAATAAATGTTCTTTTTTTGCATATCTGTTATAATTTCCTATTATTTCTTAGGTTATGAGGTTTCTACCTTGAAAAAGGGCTCTGTTACGTCTAACTTACTTTACAATGATGTTTTTTATTCCTGTCTTGCGCATTAATTTTCAAACGAAAAAAATCATAACACAATTTATGATTTGATTATCAACCGTGATACTATATATTGAATCGTAATTTTCTTTGAAGAAAATTTTTAACTAAATTATACTCTTGTGTTCTAGGTTTCCACTTCTGCTTCCCTTAATGTCAGTCGAAAAGACAGCAAAAGTAATAGTTAACAGTGTTTTAAAAGAAGAAGAAGAAGTTTTTATTCCTAAGCGCAGTGGATTTTTCAAAGATTTTGCAAAGTAAGTACATAAAGACGGTAAACGTTAGATTTTGAACTAAGCATAGTTCATAGAACAAAGTGAAGGCTTCCAAAATTTTCTATAGCAGGATTAAGGAAAATAAAGAAAGAAATACACAATCCTGAAAGGATTCAAGTTTTAACGATCACTTAAAAGGATTTGGAAATATTTTTTACACTCTCCTTGAATATCAGTTCTATCAGACTGCTGTTGCACTCACCAATACTAACTCATTTCTTTTTGTCTATTTAGCTTTATTATCAAGTATGATTTTCTTTATACTTGCCATGTATGATTCAGCATCAAAATTACAAAAATTTTAAAAGCGACATATCAGGATACGTTAAAAAGACAATCAAATAAATTCGGGCTTTCAGCTATCGATAATCGTATGGAGGATTACGTTATTCAAAATTTCATGGCTCTAGAAACCTTTGTTTTTTCACAGTGTGAAAAACATGCATGCATTATTGCAGATTCTTCATTATTTAATTTCTATAAAAATAATACAAGGCGATAATATTTTGTGGCAACAATTTGCAAAGTGATATAGCCGTTTATAGTGAATGACGAAAAATTTCGTTTCGGCATGACTAAGCAATTCAGATAATGCCTGAATTTGGGCTAATAATACTAAAAATACCTTTAAAACCCCTAAACGGCAAAAAAAAATTATTAACATCTAACATAATAGCCGATTAATAATATAAATAAAATTTGAAATGCTATTGTTCAGTGAAAGTACAAATCTGAAAACACATTTACGAAAATAATAAAAAAGAATACAAATTTTAGAGTTATAATAGTGGAACAAAGTCATTTTTTACTTCCTTGTACGAAATAAAGGAAGTATTGTTTGTGATCACGAAAAATTCGGGTATCATATTTCAACGAAAAGATCCATTTTGACAGCTATCGAATGCAATTTAACGTATTTTTGTGTGACATCTGTACGTAAGGACAGAATAAAGTACTCTTTTTCCACAAATGGATAATAAAATTGATTTAAAATGGATTCGGAAGAGATTTTTTTCGTGACGTCGGTACGTACATAAGTAAGTATGTATATATGTCGCATAACTCAGCGACGGGTAGCTTCAGAAAGTTGAAATTTTGTATATATGACTGCTATGGCATGTAGTTGTGCATCTCCCTTTTTGGTTACAATCGGCAGCAGAAAAAATATATGTGTATATAACCAATCTGCTACTCGGCTGGATGAGCTCAGTTTTTTATTCTTATATGTTGTTAAATTGTGCATTTTTTTTCCTTCAAAAATGATTGAATTAGGTTGTTCATCAATTTAAAAGTTATTTAAGTGCGGCAAAGCTAATGTTTTTTAACCACAGAAGCCATATTTGTTTACATTTAAATCTTAGCAAAATAGTAAATTAAGTCAGTTTTTGCACCTCCAGTGACGTTTTGCCGATTGGGACCAAACGTTAGCTTCAGTTTTGTGCACCGAAAAATCTGCCTTCTTGCCTGCTGGCCGAACTGCTTGTTTTTGCGCAGAAACTCTAATTTTAACTGTAAGATTTAAAAAAAAAAAAAAATTATTTTAAATGTATTTGGTATTTTATGTTTTTCTTTATTTTTCTATTTTTAATGAAAATATTTTGAGGTTTTACGTAATTTTGCCTTGCCGCGAAGTGAGAACTGAATTAATTGAATGAGAAATGTATGTCTAATGAAATTCAAGGAAATAAGTTTAAATGAAACGCAGCAAAAAATGCGTATAATTTAATATTCCGTACAAAGTCACGTGATGTCCGAATCAGATTCTTTATTATTAAATTATAAGATTTTGGATGTCATAAAATATATATAATGATTATTGCAAAAATCAGATAATGAAATAATAAATGAAAAATAAGTTGGAAGTATGACCAAAGAGTGTGAAAATAATAATAATGGTTTCATAATGATTTTTATGGAAATGGTATGTATATTATTAGAATTATAAAGATCTTAGAAGGTATTTTCCCCCTCCTTCTAGCATGCCTTTATGGTGTAAAAGTAACACACTACATTTGAAACACTCGGCTCGTATTCGAGTCCCGGCGAGGGCATTGCTCATTTTTCACGTCTCCTGCTTCAAAACCTAATGACTTTACAGTGGTGCCCGAACTAAAAGGTCGTGCACAATAATTTGTCCCCACCAGGATTTGGCTATTGGGTCCCCTAATCCCCAGTCGCCCTTTAAAAGCGGGAGTATGTAAGATATTTTCTGCCTCTTTCTAGCATGCCTTCCTGGTGTAACAGTAGCACATTCGGCGTGTGCTCGAGAGGTCCCATCGAGGGCATTGCTCATTTTTCACGTCTCTTGCTTCCACAAACCTAGTGATTCTACAATCTTACTCATATTATTAGATTAATATCATCCGAATTGTATTCCTAAAATGCCTCCTCATGTGAATCAAAGTATAAACAAACGAAATCATAATTTGTATATGATAATAAAATCGCTGTAAGCCGTGAAAAAAAATTGGTCTCCTAATGTTTGCATTAATTTACAACAGTATATTAACTGCTTTCCTAAATAAGCGTATTTTTCATTTATTAGGTGCTTCAGCAGAAAGACAATGTTCAGGATGTTGGACTTTGTAGGACACGGTTTCGATCCAGAGGTAACGAAACAGCCGCAAAAGAAGCCAGAAGAAATCGTTTGACGTCATAAAATTTGAAATTCAGATACTTTCTTATATTGTCTCATATTTTGTTTTCGTTTGTGGATTTGAATTCATTTATTCATGTCGTATAAGATGTAAAGTTATCAATATTATAATATAATGCTTAATAATTGGTTATTTCTTCGTATTTCTTAGAAGAAATTACAATAAAAGCTCCGTAAATATCAACTCCTTAAGAAATGATTAACTAATTAGTAAACAACTTGTGTTACAGCTACTTTCAATTAAAGCAATTTTTTTTAACTTTGCTTTGGTGAATGTATGATTTAAATATAAATGTTTCAAGTAATGTACTGTTTTCTGACCTAGTATGAGATAGTAATATTTCCCTTAAATTGCCCATTTTGAAACCGAGCTAGTCTTAAGTATGTAATTATATTTAAAAACAAAATTCCTAATTAAGATAATTTATTATTTACCCCTAACTTTAGTGTTAAAAGAAACGATATTTACTTCATTTTTGTTTAATTAGAATTTAAACCATTAATAATATTTCTTTTAGAATTCCTCTCAAAAACTCGTATGCGCGGAAATGCCTTAAATTTCACCCTTTTTTATTTTGTTAAATTGCCGTCAGAAGTCATTTTATATGAAAGGCTCTTCTACGTTCTGACCAATATGGTTGCATTAAAAATTCTAATACTTGAGTTTTGGATTTTTAACTATTTTTTATTACATAAACATATCTAAAGATTTGTCATAAGAAGGGAAATAAAATAATTATTATATAATAATGAAAATGCTATTTTATTTTTCTCTGATTACAGTTTTATCATCAAATATTACATTTTCAGGGAATATTTCTCTTAATACATTGCAGACTATCGGGTTTGTGCCTGTAATGCACGCCGGTTACTGCACTTCTTAAACAAGTGACACATAAATTTAAGCATTCCTAGAGGCTGCAAAAAATAATACATAATTTCAAATAATACCTAAATTCATTGAAAGTCAATATCTTTACTCTCGATGCCATACAGTAAACAAGTTTGGAAAAGTATGTATCATATGGCATGGCTAGTAACTATAGATAAGAACAAACTAAATAAACTCACTGGTAGAAAGCCTCTTCAACCTGTTTTGGACTATTACTGTCAGGAGCAAATGGGCTCAGTTTCATTTCATTGTTTAATTCCTTGAATAATAGCATTAAGTACGGATTAGCATCTGATAGCACGGAAGTCCCGCATGCGTAGTTACATCGTTTTAACTCGAGAACGAGTTAGCCAAGCCATTTCGTTTGTATATATTAATATTTGATGTCAAACATTAATATCAATATATTAATGACATCAAATATTAATATCAATATATTAATATTTGATGTCATTGTTTGTCGGTAAGCATGTTTAAAACAATCTATCGCCCGCCTTCTGTGAAATAAGAGTGATTATCAGGTTTTTGAATACGAGGAATCTTCGATCTTGTGAAATTTATCTTGAAATAAATTAAACTTACTGAGAGAACGCGGAAGTGGGTTAGGTGCGAAAATGGGTTAGGATATTTAACGAAGGAAGAGAAAATTTCCACCACGAGGAAGCCCAGTGGGCTCCCGTCGTTGATCACCGGAGAACTGGTGCGCTGCATCGACGAAAACATCTGTCCCAATAAAAGCGATTCACGATTTCTGATTCGTCAATGCATTTTCAAAATATTTCACGATCTTTATTACACGAAATTGTGACTGAATATTTGCGCTACAAAAAATAGTATTCGCGTGATATGAGTACCGAAAACACTAATGGACGTTCAAACACGGAAACGCATAGGAGCAGCCTTTCTTTTTGCAGCATTATGCAGCAGAAGGAATTCTTTTTTTAAAGGATTGTCACAGATAATGGCACATAGATTTGTTACGAGACACCTGAAATTAAACTACACTCACTGGAATGGAAGCATACTGGTTCCCCAAAACCCAAGAAAGCAGAAACACCTCTTTCTTCAAGAAAAGCCTTGTGCACCGTGTTTGGGGACTATCAAGGAATTTTGTTAGTGGACTGGATGGAACGAGGCACAACAATCAACGCTACAGCTTACTATGAGACATTGAAGAAGCTATGGAGCACGGTAGAGAACAAAAAAAGGGTGGACTACTGACTTCTGGTCTTATGTTCGTGCATGACACTGCGCGACTGCATACCGCATGCGTAATGACAATGCTGCTTGATTCATGTCTCTGGGAACAATTCTGTCACTCTATCCGATGTCACTTGCTCCATCCGATGAGAAAACATTTTTTTTTCTTATCTCAAGAAATTTTTTTGCCTGCCTGCACTTTGCAACTGATGATGAGATCCAGGTACACATCCAGAAATAGTTCAAGTCGCAGGCGGCCGAATTCTTTGAAGAGTGAATATTGCAGTTAATGCCAAGATATGGCGCATGCCTTAATTTGTAGGGTGAATATGTCGAAAAGTAGTTTAAGGTGTGTAGAGTTTTCTGTGATGAAATACAAATGACAGCAAATTGCTAATCTGTTTAATAGACAAACGATACTTATATACTTTTTGGATGTGCTTTGTAGATCTCTGAATCACGAATGAAGCAGAACCAGTAACAAGGTATTGTCTAAAGTCTAAGGAAATTTCGGCCTAAGTTATGAATATTAATTCCTAAAGCTATTATGAAACATTATGAGCAAGTTAAACAATGAGTCTGCTGAATCATTTCAGAAAAATAATTTTTCTTTCTATCATGAAACTGAGAGGTATCATTGCGGTAACAAAACAGTAAGTAGCAACAACAGAAAAAACATGATAAGCTGAAAATTAAATTCACATTTGTTTCATACCTTCCTTAGAGCCCAGATTTGATAATGTGCGATTGCCTATTACTGCTAAAATTAAAAGAGATGTTGGAATATTTTGGTATGATATTGAAATTGAAGTTACTATATGCAAATGGCTCAAAAGGGAACTACAAGCGCTCTTCATTAACGAAATGAAAACGTGAATTCTACGTTAATTGTGTAGTGATCTAAGTGTGTAGTAATAAAAAATAATTATATTGAATAATAAATATGTAATGTCCCTCTCTACTTTCTCTATGCTAAAATGTCGAGGAACCTAGTGAACTAAGTAGCGAATTATCGCTGATCAAATTATCGTTATTACTTACAACGTAGATTCGAGAAAGGTTAAAATACCCTTTTATTCAAAGAAATAACAACAGTTGTCCCCTTCTTGGGCTTACAGGAAAGCCTCCACTGGGACATTTAAATCAGGATAAAAAAATAAGAAGCTAATCTAATACTAACTAAAATAGACTTAGCCAAAGCTAGACATAAATATCTAGCGTACTTGGACCTTAATTTAAACTAGCCGGTGATTATCAACAGGCACGTACAATACGACGGAACGTAACAGAGTCAAGGGCTAAATAGCCAGAAGGCAAACACGCACCACTAAGGAATTATAAGCACTCTCTCTCGAAGTAAGCTGAACTTCCCTTAAATACTAGTTCTAACTCATTTGCATTCAACGTGATTCTAAAAACTCATTGTGGTAGGAAGTTGGAAGTGGGGAAAAAATTGAAAGGATTTCAAAATTAAAAATAACTGTTATAAAATTAAAGTACATCTTAAAAACGTATAATGTTTAAGAAAAATTGGTTTTCCTCGTTTTGACACTTTATTTTAATTTTATTTTGTCGTAAACATAATCTACGTTATTAGGGACCTTATTTACTGCTCACCGCTACTAATACTATGATTATCGTATAGTTTGTATAACTTAGTTTGTTACTGCTCACCGCTACTAATACTATTATTATCGTATATATCATGTAAAATGCATAAAAGAAAATATTCATGCATTTGCTACATTTGCTTTATGCAACATTAGGTATAAGGTAAGTATTTTAATGTCTCTTTTATTACTTTTGTCCTCTCTTTACTAAGAAGTTGGAGACCGGAAATCGTTGAAACAGTCATTTTTAGCTCGCAAATATATTTTGGCGTCTTTAAAACTTAAATATTATGTCATACACAATCGAGTCAGATTAATGTGACTACTTCATACCATCAAATGTGCAGCTCGTACAGTGTCTAGATGGGTTGAACAATGTGCTGGAGAGTATTCAGAGGAATATGGAACTATACTGATCGCAGTGCAGATTACAGATTCTTGTTAGTAAAAGGGTTTAAAAACATGCTGTACATATAAAATTTTAAAAAGTGTAATCTTACAGAATTCAAATAATGTTATTTTTTGTAGATTTAGAATGAAAACTGTAGTTGACTAATGTCGCTTGTCTAATATCAGAACCAAGCCCACGAAATTCATCGTACCAAACGAGGCAAGATTGCGCCTGTTGTTGGCAAGGGCCTTGAGACTTCTGTAAATTTTCAGTAATTCAGGAATTATAAATTATTATGGTTTTAATTTATGAACATATAGTACTTAAGCGAAAATTATATTAAAACAATCTTTTCACCAAAAACATATCATATAATTTATTGTGACTATATTTTCGAGCATGTGAGATTTCTTTTAAATTTCTTGATATAGAATCCACAGAGACTGAAAACTCAAAACTACCTAGTAATTAAAGTTTATTTCTAGATATTACGTTTATGAATATGTAATGCGAATAAATATTTTAACCACAGAATGCACGAGAACGTTTCCAAACTGACATATGTTAGAAGAGCTGTGGAGAATCATAATAACTAAATTTTTCTTTTAAGTGGTTGATTACAGCAAAACTTTCAGCCTATAATATCAAAGTGCATATCGACAGTAATAATAATAATAATGGCAAGAATTCAAATTTTAACGTCGCACCAGAGAGTTTTTTAAGAATTCAAATTTTAACGTTTTAAAATTTCATTCAAATTTTAACGTGCATTTTATGCTCTAGGTGAGTTTATTGATTTCTGCTCTTGAACTTACTCCTCCTAAGACATTTTTTTCTTTTTAACATTGTAAGGATTAAGTTAATTTTATTAACAATTAAATTTTGAGTTAAACTTC